TACATGTTTTTTGTAACGTAATCCACCATGAGGTGGATTTTACATATAATTGGTAGCAGATTTTGCTGCAAATCACATCTTCACTATTTAGCAACTCTGTGATCTTGGACAAGACAACTATTCTGAGTCTGAGTTTTTTTATTAAGTTGAGCTAATAATTCCTATTTGTCTAGTTGTTATAAAATTAAACATTGTTTGTCAAAGTGTCTTGTAAAGTATTAAGCACCATACATATAGAAGTAAAGTATTTTGTGTGTTGGATGAGTATGTACATGCATCTCTCTCTTCCATTCTATGTACATATGTAAGAGTATAGATGTATTATATATATATATATATATATTCTGCCGACAGCATCAGCATCACCGAGAAATTATAAGAAATTCGGAATCTCTGCTTCATCCTGGACCTACGGAATCAAAATTGGCATTTTAAGATAAACAGGAGATTTATATTAAAGTTTGAAAAGCGCTGCTCTATGTGGTTTACTTACAGTGTGATCTCTCTCTCCACAAACACACACATACATGTAGCAGCTAGAGAGTTAGGCAGTGATACCAAGAAAACAATATAGATTTATTATCTTGAGTTGATAAAAGAGTAGTCTAGAAAAGTACTTTCTATTTTAACTAGAACTGACGACCAACAGTAGTAGAAGAGTACAAAGTATTAAACGGCTCGTTCCTGGAATGGTGGTGACTATCTGTCAAGAATGAGGCAGAATATATCATTGCACTGAAAGTTTGAATTAGATAATCAAAGAAGTCCCGTCCAATTTTGTAATTCTACTATACATACACACCTGTGTATTTATAGATATATACTCTAACCATGAACATTCTATTCCTATTTTCAACCTATATCTTTAGATGTTTTGGATGAGCCCAAAGCTACAGGTGACAGATTGATCTAATCTACTGTTATCAGAAATAGCATAATTTGCATTCCAATTGCTACTTCAGTGACTACCTCATTATTTGCAGACACTATTAAGAAAAATGTAGAACATTTGTGATATTTTAGTAGTGCAGTTGAGACTTGAGGCAAATGTTCTCGAGGCCATACTTTTTTTTTGTTTTTTGTTGAGGGAGATTAGCCCTGAGCTAATGTGTATTGCCAATCTTCCTGCTTTTTTCTTTTTTTCTCCCCAAAGCCCCGGTGGATAGATGTATGACATAGTTGTACATCCTTCTAGTTGCTGTATGTAGGACACCACCTCAGCATGGCTTGATGAGCAGTGCCTAGGTCCGCACCCAGGATCCAAACCTGAGAACCGGGGCTACTGAAGCAGAACGTGCGAACTTAACCACTACGCCACCGGGCAAGCCCCAAGGGCACATTTATTCATTTACGTGTTTTTTGTTTTTGTCATACAGAAAGCTGTACATATTTAATGTATACAGCTTGATGAGTTTGAAGATAAGTATACGCCATGAAACCATCATGACAATCTATACCATAAGCATATCCATAATCGCCAAAGTTTTCTCTCGTCTTTATTTATTATTATTTTGGGTGTGATAAGAAAAACTTAAGATAAGATTTACCCGCTCAGAAAAATTGTAATTGTACAATACAATATAGTTTAACAAAAGGTACTCTGGTGAATAGTAGACTTTTAGGCCTTATTCATCCTGCATAACTGAAACTTTGCGTCCTTTGAGCAATACCTGTAAGTTGCCCCTTCTCCCCAGCCCCTGGCAACCACCACAGTGCTGGAAGATAAACCTCTACTTTGAAGTCTGCGAACTAAATAAATGATATGCTTGTTGATGCTTGTTATGACTGTTTAGGCAAAGCATATTATTTAGTTTGTTTAGTTTTTACAACATACATTTTAGCAGCAATGGTGTTATATCCTCGTTATATGTGTTTCTACCTTGGTTTATCATATTACAAGTGTATTGTTTTCTTCATACTTAAAGATGCTTATATATTTTCCTTTCTTCCCAGCAGCAATGCTCCTTAGACCATTTTAGAAGGAGGTTTTCACACACTGTGACGGAAAGAGTTCATAATATATGGAATCTCAGTCCTGATCATTAGGTGAAATAATTAAAAACTCATTTCCAATTTGGGAATTTATATACCTTTAGATGAAAGAGTACTGACCAAATTAGAAATAGTACCAAGCCTTAGATACGTAAGAAGGTCACCCCTGAATTTTCATTCTCACTAAGATATTGCCACAGTATTGGCTCTCTTTTATTCAAACATTGAAAGATGACAATAAAATTTTACCTATGCCATGTGATGCATTAACAATTCAAAAAACAGCTACAAAATATATTTTTTAAATCACTCTATGAAAATGTTCACTTCATCAAAATTTCTCTTCCAAGCAGACTCTTCTAAGTTGTGTTTTAATTAAGAATTTTAATTGAAGGTTTACAAATTTGCAGTTTGTGATATGTTTAATTTCTATTTGAAGTCTTGTGACATTTATTTTTAAATCACTATTTTGTATCTGATCTACCACATTTTTTACAATGCATTTAACATTTCATATAAATTATACAAAGTAGAGTTTTAGTCTCCCTCAGCTCTCAGCTACTGCTGCACAAGGATTTTGGAAGAAAAAAATAGAAATGATCACATCTCTGTAGCTCATTTGCAGAGAATACTATTTAAATTTGTTCTTAATGTAAGACTGAAATTAATCTTGATTTCCCGTCAAATGTACAGGGATTTTACAATACAGTTCATAATAGTGTTTAATTCCTCTAGGGTACGAGTTAAGATAAACAAGTCACTGACAGTGTTTATCTATAAATATAGCAGATGGTGTGGGACTGAGGTTGGTTATTAACTCTGCCGACTTTAATTTCATGGTTATAAAACACTGTAAACCTCACTGTTTATAAAAGGCAGGGAAGAATCTCCAGTGGGCTTCAGTAGCCAAGAAACCCTCTGTAACATTAATCTCTCTAACTGATATTTGGTATCCTCCTAGGGTGCAATATTTAAGATTGTGGAGTGATTGCTAGACATATTAAAATTTTCACTGGGATCATTAGCTAGCATTTCTGTCATTGATCTATTATAACTTTGTTAATGAGTTCCATGTGAGTGGAATTTAGTGAATGAGATGATTCTTTCTAAACTTCGCTAGGTGAATGTTTAACAATTACTGTAGGCAGCTGTATATCTAGAAGATAGCCTAATTTATCAAAATGATACATTTTTTCTTATACACAGATGAATTGTGATACCTAGCTAGACCAAATGTACTTAGGGATAGAATTTCATAAAGGAAAACTATAGCATCATTCGAATAATCAGCCAAAGTATATTATATGCATTTACATTTAGGCCATGAATCTGCCAAACACTTCACAAATGCCATAGAATTAAAAAGAAACAAAATAATTTATCTTTAATATTCTGAATTGATTTAAATATGAAATTTTATTATGATCATTTATTTCACTAAAAAATCTGTATGCTCAATTTGATTGAAATTCTTTCAAAAACAAGGACCACTATTATAAAAATATTATTCGAAATAGCTCAATTTTCCATTCCAATTTTATAGTAAATAACAAAATTTATTTTGTAACCACAAAAGTGAAAATATTTCACAAGTTCTACCTCTATTACTTTTACATTCAGAAAAGGTTTATTTCTTCCCTTCCTACGGTCAGACTTCTATAAATATGATCACCCAGTATGTGAATTTGAGATTTAAAAGTCTTGGACTAAATAAGTTTTAACTGTGTTAGAGTTCAAACTCCTTGAGAAAGGGTTTTCTAATGACAAAATCCTCAGTTACTTTTCCAGCTCTTATATTGGGTTGCTTCTCCTGGGCCCACCCTGAGAGTTTTGTTACTGATCTGAAACAGTCTGTTTCCTGTGCTTTCTACTGATTATTTCTAACATGAACCTCAAACCCTGGCTTACAAGGAGCTGGCTTCTGAACAGCAGCAGCCTGGGGTGGAGAATGGAACTGTCAGTAATATATCTTCTCATCTCCCTTCCTACTCAGGGCCTACTGTCACTAGATGTCATCGGATGTAATATCCGCTATTTGATACACTCATTTCTGCAAACTGTCTACTCAGACTTAGACTTCCATGTCTCAAAATGCATGAAGCATCTGTAACAGAGGGCAGTAAAGCCTCTCTCAAGGGGAGGCTTTCTTTCTTTCTTTCTTTTGTTTTAAGCCTCACAACCCACCTGAATCATCATCAAAGAAATTGGTTATTGGGTTATTGGTATGTTTGACATTCATATTTGTGTTGAATTGAGTCAAAACTAGAAGTGATATCAAGTCAAAGTTATCAATAAAAGTCACCTAAAATAGATCTATTAATTAATTTTAAGGCTTGCATCTTTTTGTCTTGTGAGTTGTAAGGTGAGGTGGAAATGTGTTTAGCAAAACATGGCCAAGAAGACCAGGGCCACAGAGTGGCCAAGAGGAGCCCTTAAGTGAGACAAAAATAGGTAACAACAACAGAAACGGAAGGGGTTAGAAAAGGGTGAGAAAATAGGGGAAATAAGCAAAGACAGATACTGAAGAGTCTGAGTGTAAGGGTGAACAGAGTGATTGGTTTAGGAGTTCTCCTTCATAAGAATTCATAAATACAGTGGGTCTTAGGAGAATGAGATGTCATTAAAGGCACATTAAAACAGTAACTCTTGTAAAGGAGCGATCTTTTTTAATAACCCAATGGGTAGCCTAAAGTTACTGTCTTTTTTTTCCTAGTCTATATATAAGATACAATGAACTATCTTATAAAATGTAATCTTTTTTCTACTCGTGGTTTGAGAAACAAAACAAAAAAACCAGTTTGTATAAGGAAATTATCTGACAGGTGAAAAAAAAGCTGTTAATATTTAAGAAAAGTGCCCTCACTTTCATCCTAATCCATCAGATTTTATTAAAATACTGTCATAGAAATAAATTGCTGTCTTATAATATAAAGCAAATTACCACCCATGGGTAAAATTAATGCATGACCTTTAAATACTTTAATCTCATTTTCATTATTTTCTTTCAGATTATCCGCTCCTGTCTAATGTCAAAGGCATTGCACTGCATAAAAGAAAACACGAAAAGGGAATCACTCTAAGTGGATTTCATTCCCCCTTCAATGGTCAGTTACAAATCAACACTCTATGATGTTTTTATTATTTATTCTTTCTAAAAATCCAGTAATTTTTTTTCAATCTTTTGTTTCTAGGAGAAGTAATCTATGCTGTCATGTGCATGACAGTCTCCTGTGGAATCCTTCTCTTGGCTATGTTCAAGCTGAGGTAACTGGATACAGATCAGAAGGAAGGATAGAAGGGAATCAGCCCTGTGAAAGCACATTTCACATGGCAGAGTTTACAAAGGGCTGGAGAAAGAAAGCTTCTCTGTTAAGACATAGTAAATCAAATTTGAATGTGGGATAGGCCCGGGAAACGTTCCTCTCAGTCTTCACATGTAAGGGAAATGTGATTGCAGGGAATTTTTTTTACATTGCATTTTACAGCACATATGCATTGTTCCCCCCAATTAAGCTGTGATCAATCTTTTCCTCCAAAATCCAGATTGAGCTTGGCTGCATTCCTTATCGAAATCACTTGCAGGATTAATCAGCTCTCACAATGGACCTGTTGTATACTTCATACAGTTGCTATTTACCTGAAGATTTATTTACTCTTCACTCTTATTTCTTATATGCTAATGAATTTTATTCATGTTTTAATATACAATTATTAAAAGACACATTTAATGAGGCCTCACAGTGTACCCTTAGAAAGATTTATTCCTATTGCCTGACATTAATTCACTCTTTCCAAATCTTCTTTTTCCTTGGCTGCCTTCCTTGCTGGAATGCGGTAATGGTCCAGCTACATGTGAGATTTAAGATTAGAGATATATTAATCTCTAGATTTCTAAATGTTCAGAGTTTAAAATTTTTCCACTTATTGACATTTACAAATAGAGACAAAATGGTATGTATTTGCTTACCTTTAATTAAAATAATAACCTCATATTTAAAGATCAATGATGTTTATTTGCTTATTCATTAACATATGTGTATCCTTGTATATAATTTGAGTATCATAAGTGTTAACAAATAAACTTATGTGTGTGTGTATAGTATATATTACACACACACATAAATTATATTTCTTAGGAAGATTAGGCCCAGAGAGGAGCAGGGGCAATGGACATTTCTCTTAGCTCATGACACTCAGAAAGGAGGACTCGGTAAATTACACAATGCATGTACACATATTGCTTCTTCAGAAATCTCAGAGTTAAAGGCCTTGACAACTAGGCAGATAAAACGAGAGACTCAAGTGAGGAGGTGTACACGACACCAAAGGGTTGGGCACATGATGAGTGCAGGCTCTGCCTAAGAACTTTCAAACTGCCTTAGTTTTAAACGCAATGCCAGCTAAACATATCCACTTGTTGGATCCCACCCCTCTAACCATTTAATTTGGTCCTCACCAACACCAGTACCAAAACACACAGCTTTTCTCCAAGGCCTCAAAAGTTGTATTTGTATGAGTAGATATTCCTTGGGTTCCAAGATACGGTTTAAAGGCCAAATAGTTACAGTCACTTTTAAGGGGGAAAAATAGTCTGGCATTTATTAAACTTCCCTTTATTTGGTTTAAAATATTTAAGAGCACTGTTCAGTTACTAGGCCTGCCTAGATATTCCATCACAGACATATTGTTTCAGAGAAGCCCAAACAATTTTCTAGCCTAGCAAAAATCTTATTTTAATGGATTTCAATCTTTATATCTTGCCATACACGTAATGTATAAAGTTCACATCTGCCACATAGGCCCATTGGTTTTTACAGGTTACTGTTGTGCTACAGATAAGTGAGGTGATGGCTATTCAAATTCCTTGTGTATCAGCTATAAGTTGACCTCCTTTCTTGCCTGCGTAGAAAGGCATATCCCTTTACCGGATGACAATGAGATCGTTATAGACAAAAGTTTTGAATTTACTTTAATATGTATTCTAAAGCAAATCATTCATACTGTTAAGTATATTACATTTAGTTACAAATTATTTCCCATGTAATTTAAAGTTGATCTTTACATGTAATTTGAAGGATCCAGACCCAGGGTTAAATAAATGACAAAAGTAAAAGCCACGATGAAAAGAAAGAACAAAACAAAGCAAAAGTATCAACAACAAGACCTATGTTACCTGCATCTGGAAATATAGAATGCCTCCTTAGTGAAGGAAGCCTGGTTGCCACTCACCTCGTGGTCAGGTCTAATCCTTGTGAATACCTCTCTGCAGTGAAGATTACGGTTTTTGCATTTGTTCTGTGTTATGCTAAATTAAAACATCCCTAACCATTCAAAAAACTTGCCGAGAAACTGATAATTAAAAAATGAGAAAAGAAAGGACTCTTTGAAAACGATTCCTTGGAAATCACAGTTAAATGCATGATACTTCCTAGAAAGACTACAGAACATTCTACTATTGGGACTTCACATTTAGGAACTTGATTATATTTCCCCTCCAGGCACAGAATCCATCCAAAAACATAAGCACACATACATTTATAAAATCCTTAAAATAGCACATTGTTAACTTTTACTTTTATTTTTATATAGAACCTTCAGAATATCAAGTCAAACAAGAGATCCTTCACCAATGCAAATACCTGGAGGACTCAGGATTCACCAAGAGTCACGGACCATTAACTTTCTTTAAAGCAAGTCTTGATAGCCAGTCCATGGAATATCTTAACTGTCACCAATAAGCAAAATGTTAAGGTGGATTTAATGATGTTGGGTCGTTAAGCGTAATGATGTAAGGTATAATAATATGGCATGATGTTAGATTTATTTTTTCTTAAGAAAATATTCAAGTATAAATATATATAGTATCTTTTATGACACTGGTACAGAATTACAGAATTGCCCTTGAAGGCAAAAAGTATTATCCTAAGTTACAGTCTGCAAGATTTGTTTCATGATAAATTTGAATCCATATAATAGTAATTAGTTGCATCATAATATGACAAATTATAGTTAGCAGAGTTTTTTCTTCTGATCAATTTTATAAATTCCCATTAACTTGCCAAAAGCAAACTGCTACTAAAAATATCCAGTATATTTGTTATTTGTATATCCATTTTCAAATCATTAGCTACATCATTAGCATTGACTTTAAGTTTCTAAAGATATTTGGTTAGATGATTAGTCTTAAAAATTGCAAGTGGTATCTTTGGATTTTTGTGATTTAAATACTGTTGAACTTTACTTTTTTAACTTGATGTCTTTATTTCATACTCCAAAAGATGTAAGGCAACCGCATTGGCTGAAAAATCAATGTGCACTTCAATAATGATATATTTTATTTGTTAATTTATTTTTTCTATGCCAATTATTATGAACTTCTGCAATAATAAAGTAACTTCATAATTGTTCCTTTCTGTATTGTTTCTATATTGTTACTCTTGGCCTGATTTGACATCAGAGTATAATTGTGATTAGAAAATTGTGGAAAAGATGTTTATTAGTTAAGTTTTTGATACATATATGCTTTTCAACTGTCTTAGCAATACCCATTGCTAAGAATAAATATGAGCTTATTTTATCTATAGTGGCACAGAGGTGCAAATATTAAATAACCTGAGCGTACTAATAATTAGTGATATATTTACAATTAAAGGTCAAACATTTTTTACCTGTTTGGTCTCATGTCTATTGCTGTTCACTATGCTTCAGATCAAATTGTCTACACTGAATTAAATTTGAGGTTAACATTTGGCTATGTTTACTCAGAGTAATTGAAAAAGCCATCCTTTATCTTTTAAAACAGGGAAGAATAATGTGGTGAATCACAAATTCCCCTCAAAGAGTTCTACATATTCCAGTGGCAGTTAACTCTCTAAGTTAATATGACGAGAATGTAGGCATTTCTGTCCCCAAATCATTGCATTTTAATTTGGGTTTGCTAATGCCTGGGAATACACAAACTGTTCTCTGGAAAACCGAGGAAAGAAGTCAACTTGCTTTTAGAAATATGTTTGTGTTGAGCAGAGGAGAGGACAGAGTGTGAAGTAGAAGTCCTCCCTTAAAAACAGAATCCTGTCTCCCAGGCCAGCAGGAATGAGTGGGCCATTCTAGGCAGAATTGCAGAAGCAGGAATCAGCATGGAGCATTTAGAAAACTCTAGTCAGCTGCCTCTAGAGCAGGGAATTCACATTTAGAAAATATGAGACATAGAACATTAAATATGGGACATTAAATAAAACTAAAATCAGGACTGAGACACTAAATATCCTTAAACATGAAGCTAAGGGGTTGAGACACTCCAAATGTGGCTTTTGGGCCCCTTCAGGACACGGCCCCCATCTCCACCCTCGTCTTTTTCTCTTTCGTCCTTTGGGAAGCCTCCGTGAGCAGCCTTTCCCTGCCCCGGGTCAGGTACTCAGTGCTTCCTCTATCTTAGATAATGCACTGCACTACAATTTATTCTTCATTATTGTTTTTCTCAGCAAATTGCAAGCACTCTGATTGAATCTGTTGGCTCATCTCTGATATCCATTCCTTTACAAATAGGGTATATTCAGAAAAAAAATGTTCAATGAATGGATTGCTTCATTTGGAAGGAACTAGGAAGTACCTATTTTGAATATTCTTCTCTGAGGGACTATCTATATCAACTTAGATCACATGTGTATCAGTTGGATGCTTTTATTTGTAATGAAATGTCTTAAACAATAAGGAATACATACTATTTCCTATAACAAGTTCAAGGCAGAACATCTCAATGGTTGATTAACTTAGCAGTTCAATGATATCTTTGAGGACTCAAATTTTTCTTTTCCACCATTCTCATTGCTACTGAATGGCTGGCACGGTTCAGGCTTTGGATTTGGATTTGAAGACATGGAAATCTAGAAATTCAAATTACCATAACTGACTTAGTCTAATAAGAATTGACCCTGAATCAGCCGGGAGAAGGGTAGTCTCCCAAATAAAATCTGATTTCTATTAGCAAGGAGGAACAGGAGAGGGCTCTTGGGTAGGCAGCCAACAGTTTCTGCTACAAAAGTCTTCATTATCAATTAAGTGATGGATATCATGGCCTTGAACAAATAAACCAGATCAGTTTGGGTTTAAGTTCTATTTTTCATTTGGCTATTTGGAACTAAATAGCCCAAACCTAAAAAGTGTTTCTCAGCCTATCAAAATGCTTGAGCTCCACCAATTCAGGATTTCTTTTCTATTTATTAATGAACAAAATTTGTTTAGTAGAAAACAATATTGGTTTCTTTGTGTCAGCAAGAACATTTCATCTTGCAGTGACATTTCTTCCAGAAAAACGGGATCATCCATTCATTGCAGGGGAAAAGACCGAAGGCTTTGCTGCCAACAGTCAAGTTGTAGCATGCAGCGAGTGGTGGAGGCATCACTGCTGCCTGCATTTCTCCTCTTTTCTGGGAACTGGAATCCATGCAGGGGTGCTCTTTAGAGGACTCATCTACTGGTTGGGCACCTTTGCCTTAGGAGCTCTAGAAAAGTTAAAGGAATAAACGTTTCCCAGACAGTAATAAAAAAAATAGCAGAGGTCCCTGATGCCAAATAAGTGAACCATCAAGGTCAGAAAGGTAATGCTTAGAAGCTAAAGGTGAGACGCAATATATAAAAGGAAACAATGGGAAACAAAATCTCCATAAAGAGGAAATTCAGAAGTAGTAGATGTCTGTTAGGAGCAAGCTTCAGAGACATCCTATTCTTTTTGGATTATTTAATCCAAATTAGTCTCTGCAAATAATAAGCAATTGAAATAAAATATTTGAATTTTCAGATATGTAATAGGAGAATTAACCGATTTTGTTTTCCTAATACCTCAATAATAGAGGAAGAGCTTGGAGATAAGTTTGGAGGGGTTTGACAGAGTGAAATGGTTAATTAGAACATAAAGGTTTATCTAGCACTTCCATGTTTGTATTGAACCTTAATGGAACTGGGGGTCATGGGGAGAGTGGTGATCAGGAGTGAGTAGAACTGTCAGTCCTTGGCATTACTGGCAGCCATCTTGAAATACACAAGGATTGTTTACTGTAAAACTCATATGGAGTATTCTACCCATTGAATTAGTTCTTATTTCAACCATACAACTAGGTAATAAAGAAAATAAAATATCATTTTATGCATTCATCTGATTGTCTTACAAATATCGTAAATTTCTTTCATCACAGGTATTAATCCTTTTCTATCTTCTTCCTCTCCTCCCATCTTTTTTTTCAAAACAGTTTTCTGGTTTCATGAAAGATGGGAAAGAAACAAGCTCAGGAAAGGGGAAATCAGTTAGCCATAGGCAAAAAATAGAATACTGTGAAAATGGCTAACAAAGAGACATTGCTCATAGGAACATTTAGATCAACCCTTTTAGTCACTTCATATGTCATTCTCTTTCACAAATGCACTTCAAGGGAAACACCTTATAACATAAAATAAGTACATTACTCATCTCATAAGGTGTCAGCGTGAAGACAATTAGACACCAAAGGGGAATGCAATTCTACTTATAAAGGCCTTCTTTTAGTTCATCAGTCAACATGTTTCTTGATTAGAAGATCAAGAAAATCCTCTCAGGGGGTATTATTTCAGTTGAGAATTAAAAGTTGACATGGAAGAAGCCATGTGGTGGAAACCATTTTAAGAAAAATTTTCTTTTAAGAAAAAGAACAAGTGCTAAATTCCTAAAAGGAGATTGAGCTTCATGTGTTCAAATCATGGAAAGTGAAGGGGCTAGAACAAGAGTGAGTAGGGAAGTTAAGAGTGGTCAAAGATGAAGTCAGAGGACTAAGCAGGAGGAAACTCAATGTAAGGAGTTGCATTCCATTCTGATTGCAATAGGAATTCTTCAGACAGTTTCAGAGAGAAGAATGATATAATTTAAATTAGGTTTTAGAAGAATCTGGCTGCTATTTGGAAAAAAGATTGAAAGTGGGCAAAAATGGAAGCAGGGAAACCAATTAAGAGACTGATTCTGTATCCAGGGGGAAAAATGAATGTAGATTAGATGATGATTGTGTCAGTGGAGATGAGAAACATCACTTGATTTGGAATATAAATACTGGAGGTAAAGCCAACAAGCCTTATTTATATAAAAGAACAGGACATGAGGAAAATCCAGAACTCAATGTAGATACACGTTGGATTTTTTGCCTGGAGTAGAATGTATTTGGTGATTGGGAGCAAAGGGAAATATATGTCTGGTTTTTTGCGTCTAATTCTGCTTTGAGGTGGCATAAACATTCAAATAAAGATTTTTAATTGACAGTTGTTATATGAAGGTAGAGCCCCAGAGTAAAGTCTAGCTTGAATCATCGGTGTATGAATGTTATTTAAAATCATGAGAATGGAAGACATCACTTAGCAAAGGAATGTTAGAAAAAGACTGAGAAAAACACCATGGGCCATTTTGACACTTAGTGGTCTGAGAAGAGGAAGATGAGAAAGCAAGGCTACCATGAAGGGGTAGCTAATAAGAAATGAAGGATACTAGGGAGAAGCCAAGAATGTTTCAAAATGGAGGGTATGTTCAATGGTGTTAGATATTGCTAAGAGATTGACTATAATAGGGACAAATGACTTAATTTTGGCTTTGGCAGAATGTAAGTCATTGAGATCTTGAACACATCTTATTGACATGGTGGAGACTGAAGCCCAATTACTGTGGATTAAAGAGAG